TTTATGGACATAATTTCTTCTGTCAACTTTCAGTGGAATACTGAATATTTCAGTATTTTGCTGCTAATGAATGCCTTCTGCCATTCATTATTTCTGAGCCACATGTCAGTGTTTATACACCTAATCATGTTTTTCTGGTCCAATCTTTCAGTCCTGATGAATCAGTATGCATCAGATAAATAACTGCTGTTAACGCTGCTCTTTCAGCGCCTCAGAGTTGAAATCAGTCCATAGCTTTGAGTTTATTCTCTTTTTTACATAAGCAGGATGTTTTTTTATCCCATCTTTCCTTCTTTCTTCTTACTGTGCAGCATTATTTAATGTTCATTTTCAAAACTGCTCTGAAATAAAGTTTCGATTGCAATTTTCCTTCTTTTATACACTGTTTATGAAACTCTAATGCACATTTCCACACTGCAACCCATTAACAATTAATGCCTTTAGAGGCACTCCTGGTTCAGCAGAGGACACTGTTCTTATTCTCCATTAATAAAACACAGAACTCTGAGTGTTAACCGCTAAAAAAAATACACACTATTGTGCGCACTCGTCTTAAAAATTAAAGGAGCGCTGCACACAGACACAGAGGCTCAACTACCAAAGCAGGGATGTAGCCACACCCTGCATACCTCTGCTGACCCACAATTGTCAGTTCGACATGTCAGGAACTGAAACATCCCAGTGAATAATAAACAGTAAACGCAGGTAGCTTGTAGGTAAATACACAAAATAGATTTCTGCCTTGCAAAAGGCAGGGGGCGCTGTTTGACCTGTGTAAACTGAGCTTTCTTGCATTTTTCATTATTAATATTCATGTAGAAAAGAAGCAGCGACCTTTATTGAAGAACAAATGAAGTAATGGTTAACAAACACGTCCTACTTTGGCAGGAAGCAAAATATTTACGGGATGTGTGGTCATCAGTCTTCTTGCATTACTGCAATTATTCCAAAATATCCATAATACTTTAAAAAAGATTTGTTTTTTTTATGCAACTACTCTCTATTTCTGCAAGCATTTGTGCCCACCTGTATGCGCTCAGTAGTGGTGGGCCACAGTGTCCTCCATATGACCTTCTTCACCATATCTGGCAACAGACTGGCTGTTATCAAAAGGATTATACTGAGCCAGGCTGGGCCACTGGACAACATCTGCATGAACACATAGTACATTCTCTGGTAGTTGAGGAATGGCCTGTAAGAGAGGAAACGACTGCATGAAAACAAATGCAATAAAACATCTAATAAAACGTCACTCTGACTGACACAGTTTTACATCAAGTAAACATTTAAATACAAAAATATTTCTTTAATCATACCAGATGATTCCACCCCACAGCAGGGAGAATACCACAAAGAAGATCAGTGAGCCCCAGATAACGAAATGATTGATCCAAGTCCAGTAATGAGTATCTAGGGCCAGCTACGACACAGAGACGATGGAAGTGAGACTGGAGCCAGACTTGCCTGGGTGTTTCTGTGATGTTCTGATGTGTCTGTGTGGTTACCTTGAATGTAACAGTGAAGACTAGCACAGTGAAGACGAGTGTCCCAAATGTCCAGTTTCCAAACATCTGCAGAAGGTAAAAAAGCAGCTGCTGTTATTGATCAGGAGATTTGTGCATGAAACACTTTCAACTTCTTGTTTTTTTGTTTTATTTATTTTATTGTATGTTTGATGTGAACAGATTCTAAGCACCTGTTAAAGTAAATAATTTGACTTGTGCTTATTCAGTACTTAAATGCTCAGCACACCTGCGCTAACATGCTTTTCGGATGACTTGACTAGGCTATGAGGTAAAAGTTGACATATTCAAGTAAGGAATCAATCAATCAAACAGATGGCAGTGTGCTCAGGTAGCAACATTCAGGTGAGGAGCTGGTTATCAGATGACTGATGGATGGAGGAGGATGTGATTGTATAGCTGAATATTCCTATCAGTCTCTTCTGTGAGTGAAACCCTTTTACATGAACACTAAAAAAGTCATCGTGCACATTTAAGACCACCACGATGCAGGGCAGCTTCTTCACTACAACTTACACAATGAGCTCCTTCAGCATTTTGTGCAGCACTAAAACTGGCATATTTTCCCTTTATTGTAATTATTCTGAGGTGTCATATTAAGAGGTACATGGAGAACATAGTGATTCTAGCACACCATAACTGAGAAGTGACTGTTGCATGATTTTCTTTTTTCACAAGCCTGTGGCAATAAGATGAAGCCCAAAACCAAAAATGAACTAGTATCATAAAATTTAAAGTATGGGTACACTGAAGGTCATCTAACTGCTTGGGCTACACTATACTTCTGCTAAAAACAGGCACCTTGGGGTGAAACGTGATAAATAAAGTTAAAAAATAAAAATGATGAGCATGAAATGATAAAATAAAAGCTTTTCAGAGGCAGCTTCCAAATGCAGCTCTGATTTTTACATTGTTAGTACAAGTATAGTACAAGCTACTATCAGATACATTACAACATAAATTGTAGCGCTACAGAAACACTCGCATGAGGCAGAAAAATGATTTTCATCATTGATCAGATGCATTTCAATGTTTTTCTTTCACCTTTTCTTTTTCTAACACTTCAAAAGCTTCAGATTTGCTTCCTGTTTATGTGTTTATAAGTAATCCTATAAAAAGTTGTAATGCTTTAGGCAATGATCTCTAACTGTTACATAATGGAAGCAGGAGCACGTATGCCCTGCTTTTAAGAGAAATCCTAACATCTGCCACAAACAAAGCACACAGGATGTATAACTAAGGTGTTTGGTCACTGACAGCTGGACACATGAGCATGGGTCTGGGAAACAGCGAGTCACTACAGAAAAGCCTACAGCTGACGTATCTACAGCAAGCACTGAGGGCCGGACATGAGATGAACAGCAGTTTGTATCAGGCTGTGTGACGGTGGCGAAACAGGGAAGTGAAACTAAGGAGAGACGACAGAGAGACAGCGACAGGCTTACCATCTGTGTGTTGGTTGTCATTAGCTGGGAGGAGGAAAGAGAAGCAAAAAGAAAAAGCAACACAAAGGTAAGAGGATAGGAAGAAGAAGAGCATGTGACCAGAAGAAAATCATAATAACATAAACAGTTTTATGGCTGAAAGGAAAAAAATTGAAAAGAATTGGATGCAAAAAAGAAGAAGAAGAAAACCCAAGTGAAATCAAGCAACTCAAAAACAGTTCAACATGTTTCTGGGAGAGTAATGCAGCTTGAGAAATTAAACAAACCAAATAGAGAACAGAGAGGAAGATGATGGGAACCCCGCCATGCTGTCGTGTCTTACTAGAGATTTATGCTTCAGCGGGAAATCTATGCTGTTACCTGCAGCGTAACCGCAAACCCCGCTAAAGCCTATGGCGTAACCTGGCGTGGACCTCGGTGGGAAGGAAAAAATCCCAGTATTTTATCTGGGACACGACCACATGGTAATTACCACATAATGCACCAGCACGAGTGTGAATCCTGCCAATAGCATCGGCCACTTATGTAGGTTACGTTATGGGCTCTAAAAAGATTTCCCGCAGAAGTCTAAATAAGGCCTTAGATATAAACCACACGTCATCAGATTTTACTTAAACATCTATATATATATAATTATCCAACTGACATTAAATATTATTTACTAAAAGGCAAAATAGTCTTCAAACTTTATCAGCCAACAACCTGCATTTTCAAGTGACATAAATAACCATCCAGTACAAGGTCATTATTATGAGAAATTACTTGACCATAATTATCTCATAACTACATGTAACTACCAGATAGTTACTTTTTCAAACACAATAATGTGCAGTGTCAGGAAAACACATTTATAATACCAGATCCATTTACACTACAGGTTTAATGTTAGTTTGTGCTACAACTTGATCAGTTTCTGCAAGCAATACAATAAGCTACGTGTCAGGCATTAGCCAGGCCATTAAAACCTGTCAGCAAAGCACAGTACAGCCAGTATATTTAAAAGTAAATCCATTTTGCTTTAACTTACAGAGCAAAAGTGGTTGAGGAACAAGCTGAGACCTAAAACACTGTCACTATGTTCCCTAACTAACCCCAAACACCACAAGAAGACTAAAAAGTCAGATGACAAACAGAAAACAGATGGAGCTTGTGGAAAACTGAAGTGGCCTATAGATAAAATAGGCAGTTACTATTTTTCCTTTACTTTGAACTTTACTTTAAATATTTTCCAGGCCTTTTTCTCCTTGTTTCGATTAAAGAGCCTGTCAAAGCCACATGGTTATTACCTGTCCATTGCTGGTGAAGGTGGTGTTGTCAAACAGGAAGTAAGCACCAAAGAACATCACAATGGCATCATAAACGCCCAAGACTGTCCAGTATATGAAGGTGGGCCACCGCAGCAAAGAGTTCTTAGCAATATCTCTGTGTAGATATACAGAACAGAGATCACATGTTTGTAGATTAATATCACAGTACACTGCCTGCCTCACAGCCAATGAGTCTCTAATAGTATAATACATACATCGATACAGACAGCGTCATTGTTTGTGGGAAAGGTTGATTCTTTTTTGGAAGAATACAACTTAAGAGTAAAGCTAAAAACGTAGCTTTTCAAACTCTGAACACACACAAAACCAAATCCAAGAAGGCGGTTATCTGCCATATGATGGATGTAAAATAAACTGTAATGTAAATATAAATTAATCAGAGTAAAACACCAAATCATCTGCTATTACTTTGCACCTGGAGGCCGTGTATAAAGTGTCTAAAGAATTATTGAAATATTTATATTTTCTGTTGCTTAGATGACTTTAACTCAACACTGTTCTTGTTACAGTACATCTCCGGAAGAATCCAACTACCACGCAGTCTGCTTTGTATAAAACAGATGGTTCATTATCTGCTGCAGAAGACTGGATTACTGAAACATGCAGATAATTTCTTTTTCTAATTTTCATGTCATGAGAACAAGTTCCTGAAGAACATGTGATATTAGAGTCGATCCAGCTGGTCGATTTGCAGTCTTACTAAACGACACATTTCTGACATGACAATCTTAAACAGAAATCCACCTGTAGAGACAAGGGTCTTTCTTCAGGATGTCCATATTTATGTGCTGCTCGATGAGACTGTAGAGCAGAATGGGCAGCGAGGTGAAGCTGATGTTGTAGAGAGTCAGGTAAGCCGTGTCATACAGCGGCTGGGGTTTGGGAAAGAGAGCCGTGTTAGTATTTTTGTTCTTGTTGTTTTTATGGTACTTAGGTTTTGTGAGTGCACACCTGTTGTGAGAAGCCACAAAAGAACTGGTAGAGGAACTGGGGGAAAATGAAACAGACATTCTGCGAAAAGAAAGAACAACAATTTAAATGTGTACAGGTCTTTTTGTTGCTGAACGCTAATTTTACAGAGTATAAATATCAAAAATATGAAAATTAATGAACTAAACAAATTAATAAATTAAATCTCACACAAAGCATTCCTGCACACTTAGGCTAAAGCCACAGACTCCGCAATTACAATCATCTTAAAACAAATTTTAAAAACTATACAAAGTTTTAAAAAGAAGTAAACTCAAAACATGTTCAGGGCGACTACCTTGTAGAAGAAATATTGTACAAGTTCAGAGATGCGTATGTAGTAATAGTGTCCGTGGACGAGCAGCATCTTCTTGAGGTGTTTGAACTTCGGGATGGCGTAGTCGCTGTTCCTCACTGCCTGGCGACCCTCCTTACCCATAATGCCTGCGTTGTGACCATTTACAGGGCAAAGTATTATTGCAATGATAATAGTATGGTTCTAACAGTTTTAACACTTCTGCATAAATTTAGTTTTGGAAATTCAAAAGTACAGTTTTTGTGTGGAAAAGGATTTTGTGTGAATGCAGGTGCTGTACACACTGCTGACTTCTGTACACAAGGGACTGCTTTTAAGAATTTCTAGTTTCTTCAAATTGAAACTGTATTAAGAAGGAAACAAACTTTACCAGAGTGTGGCATGTTGCATAGGAATAGACAGAATACTAACCAATACCAACGTGGGCCTCCAGGATCATGCTGACATCATTAGCTCCGTCTCCAATGGCCAGCGTGATTGGGTGCTCCTCCGAGGCTTTGATTAACTTGACAATCTGCAGGTTGTGGATTTCAGCTTAGCGTCCATCTGAATCTTAATGACATGAGTGAGAACATCTGTTTCACAGTTAAACTCAGAGTACAGATGGCCTTCGTACCTGTGCTTTCTGAAGTGGCGCCATTCGACAGCAGAGCACGGCACTGCAGTTCCGGCAGATTTCCAAGAATTTCTCTTTGTAATTCCCTGAGTTTGAGCCCTCCTGGCCGGGCCTCATTACAGCAGAGAGGGTAGCTCCGTCAATGATCAGACCATAGTCGGTGCAATCACCTGATAGCCTGGGAAAAAAAACACAAAACCTGTCAAATACGAGTAACTGCAGGATGACACTGTCTGAAGCATGCTGTGAACATAATACCCACTCAGAGAAGGTGTCCCGGGTCATGCCCCCATGCTGCCTAAGGACCGTCCTGCTCAATTCAAACAGGACGTCGTGAAGGCTCTGCTCCTCAGTGCGTTTGGTGGTCAGCTCCAGGATTTGGGTGTTGCGATGAAACAGCTTGCTGGCATAGCACGTTGCAGCTGCAGTCTCCATCTTGTCTCCTGTCAGCACCCACACCTTTATACCAGCTTTGTGCAGAGACTCAATGGTGTCTGCTGCTTTTTCCTGTAGCCTGGTACGCAGCCAAGAAACAAGAGGTGGCATGTTTTTAGCTGCATTAAATAAATAGGTTTCTTTTATTTCTCTTTGCCTTTTATTCAACAACAGCTCAACTGTGCAGTACTCCAGCACGTGGATTATTTCCTCTCTGTGCTGGATGGGTGAAACGCCCTCTGGGCTGACAAGTAGTTTTAAGCCTGCACTATAATTGCCTTAGTGGCACGTGTGTGATTGGAGGGTTAAACTGCCACTTTCCCTCACTCACTTTGGTTCACTCAGAACTAGGACAGCACTGTCCATGGCAGCAGACACAGAATTACTGTAATGTTAAGAGTCACTTGAGCTGAAGAGGTTTAGACATTTATGGGAAAAAAGGTGCATAAGTGTAATTTTTGAAAGGGCATTTCACGTAAAATTTGCACTTAGAAGGACAAATAACTGAAATGACAACAGCATGCAATGTAAATTGTGGTTATGTTGCCAAGGTACCAGCTGTACAGGAAAACCTTTGATGAAAAAAAAAGTGCAGGATGTTGATATAATTTGTCATTTAGGTGTCCTTAATACCAAAAAAAATTCAGCACCTGTCCTCGACAGCAGTTGCTCCCAGCAGTATCAGGTCCTTCTCGATGAGGTCGTAAGCCTCTGCCAGCTGTTTGTCTCGGTCTTGTAATGCTAACTTAGCTCTGTTCAGCAGCTGGAAAACCTCTTCGTACTGTTCTGGGCTCAGAGAGCGATAGGCAACACAAAGTGTCCTCAAACCCTCCTGGTGGAGAACAGAGATTCACACAAGGTCAGGCTGGTATATATTTAAGACTCAATAAAAACGAATCTACATAAAACACTGTTCCTTGAATACAGCCTCTGAATGTGAGTGTATGGTGGGTGGATGCCAACTACCCATTCAGCCTCACTGGTACAACACTCACCACATATTTTTCAGTTTCCAAAGAAACCTGTGATTTATCTGTAGCTGCAACCACAGCAACATTTGTGTCACTCGTCTGCTTTTTACTGCATGCAAATTGAAGCTATCGTGGTATTTTCATGAGTAAACTGAACTTTAAATAGTCTTATTCAGACTGCGATATTTATTTTTGCACTTTGGAAGTCATTATGAGATTTTGCAGTTGACTGCTTAGTTAGGTGCACTCTCTTACTATCTGTCTACTTATTAGCATTTCCTACTTTTCCCACAAGGATTTTGTGGGTGTATAAAGAAAACAGTATGCAGAGTCCATCACTGTTTATGGTTCTGTTCAGTATTTAAAGAAAGCTTCTTTCCATCTTCTGACCAAATCCTACGCCAGTCCCACAGATAGAAAGACTGTGCTGATACAATTATTAAATACATGTTAATAAAAAATGTAAAAAAACAAATAGACTTGTGCTTTTGTCAATTAAAGGCCACACCAGATCCACCTAGAAAGAAGTTCTGTTTACTGGAACTACATGATGCTTCTCATGTGGTTGTGTAAACTGTAACCATGCAAAGAACTTAGATAATGGTAATTGGCCTGTAGTCCCTAAGGACCCCAAAGCACTTTACACATCCAGTCATCCACCCATTCACACACTGGTGCTGGCAAGCTACATTGTATCCACAGCCACCCTGAGGCGCACTGACAGAGGCGAGGCTGCCGGACACTGGCGCCACCGGGCCCTCTGACCACCACTAGTAGGCAACAGGTGAAGTGTCTTGCCCAAGGACACAACGACCGAGACTGTCCAAGCCGGGGCTCAAACCGGCAACCTTCCGACTATAAGGCGAACTCCAAACTCTTGAGCCACGATCTTTCAGGAAAAAACAACTTCCTGTTATATTGTATGAGCCTATAACGATATGAGAAAGATGAGAGTGAGCCTGCACGTGTGTGTGTGTGTGTTTGTGCTCTCTCACCACTGCATTTTGCTCCACTCGTGCTCGGACCTGATCCACTTTGCCTGAGATGACCCTTGGGAAGATAGAGGAGTCTGCACCTTTACAGAAGAGATAAACCTCACCTGCTCAAACGCATACACAGAAAAAAAAGAGGATCGGATTAAAGAAAAACATAAACACAGACACATAGAAATCAATATAAAGAATATACATATCTAGTTTTGTGCGCATTACCAGTGCTGGCCTTGACGATAATGCTCATCCTCCGTCGGACTGAGTCAAATGTCAAAACTTCTAGCAGTTCAAACCTGATAAAAACAGGAAGAAAATCACACAAATGCTACTGAAAAAATAATAGCCAACTATCAATTAAAGAAGTTAAAAACAGATAAAAAATAACAATAGTCATCTCATTTTCAAGGTTCACAGAGAACAATAACGTTGCTTAAAGCGGCACACTCACTTTTCAACTTCATCCTCCCTATTTAAGATTTCCATCTGACCGTCCTTGAGCCTCAGATAGGTGAAACCGAGCCTGCAGCACAGAACAACCATCATTGGAGTGAATAAAATGAATGTCCAAAAAACAGAAATAGAAAAATGGGAAAACTAAATTCTTCTGAATGCAGCAGCGATTACTGCTGCCATTGTGTGCAACGTGAGTGTGTGTGTGCTGCACCTCTTCATGCCCTCCACCAGTGCAACCTCGTCAGGAGAAGAGGAGATGTAGAAGGAAGTGGACTTGCCCTGGTGAATGCCATGTTTGATCCCATCTACAGTATCCTCCTCTTTCACCTGCACCGTGTGGCACAAACACAACGCCCGGAAAAACAGCTCCTCGTGCTCCTGCAGTGGACGGCCGACACTAGATTACCCTCATTCGCACAAACCACAAACGCACATTCAAAGCGAGTCTGCACTTACCCTGGCTGCAGGACCTGGGGATGAGTCGATCATGTCCATACCGGCAGCTCCAGGCATCACCTACAGACATACAGACCACAGATCACTCTGGGGGTGACTGGTTATCAAACACAGGCTACGATGATATGTACATATGGCATTTTAGTATTAAAGCTTGATTCTAAGACTTGACATATACAGCACGATGTCCATGTTTATGTGACAGTAACCCCTTTACTCTGATGTTTGAAGTCCTATGTTAAAAGGAGTAAATTGTAATAATATTACAACACAACAACCCTCCTAAAATTACAACAGACTGTCTGTTCAGCACATTTAAGGTTGTATGAGCTGCTGACTTGTCAATTAATGCTCATGATCAGTTACTTGGCAAACATAAATAGACATATGGCTCAATAAACAGCAGCAAGACTTGCAGGCACGATTTGATTTCCTTGTATGACCATTAAGCACTGAACACAGATGATTACACTAAACGCACAATGCCCAGGAGTTTTATTGTCAGGAAATCTGTAATAATCCATTGAAAACACAGAAATGACTAAACGCATGAATGTTACATTCTTCTCACAGATTTTTATTAGATAAAACACACAAACAAAAAAACCCTAAAATAGGCCTAAACTGTTGCCTTTCTGTCATTTGATTTTTACACCTCCGTTACATAAAAATATGAACTCTTTGTAAATAAATGAAAGGCTATAAATAAATCAATCACAAACATTGATCCATCTTTACCTTGTCCAAAGAGACTGTATATAAAGGATGGAAGTAGTGTGGCATCATTAAAATGGTTTTGAACCACCCTTGGAATCTCCTTTAGAGTGCCTTTATTTGTATCTTTAGAAATGCACAACATTATCCAGCAAGTCTTATTAGCAAGCTGCATCCATACAAACTGTGGTTCTTTCATGCATACACTGAAACACCCACAACATCTACTAATTGGAAGGCTGGTGGTTCAATCCGTTGATCCTCTAGTCTGCATGCCAAAGTATCCTTGGACAAAATACCTGAACCCTGAACTGAGTTTCCCCCGGTGCATCCACTGCAGTGTGATTATGTGAACGTCAGGCTCAAAGTGCTTAAGCACAGAAAAGAAAGTGCTTGTAGGACTGTGTATGAATGAGGCTTGTAGTAAGAAAAGTTCATGGCTGAAGCTGAATATCTTAACAGATCAATCTAGTGGGACTGAACGTTTTACCTGTCCATTACAGATAGCGTGAGGTACATAAACGTGTCCATCCACACAGCACTCTATAAACTCCATGTTGTTCTCTGTTAGCGTTCCTGTCTTGTCTGTAAACACATACTCCACCTGGAAAGAAAGCAGGGTAAGTGTTTTTTTATTCTTATCTCTAACTCACTTTTCCATACAGTAATGTTTCTTTGCTCATTATTCTGCCCGGAGTGAAGTACACTTTGCTACCTGCCCCAGTTCCTCATTCAAGTCTGATGTGTTGACCACAGCTCTCTCCCCCAGCTCCTCATCAAACATTTCATCGTCCCACATGATGAAGTAGGAGCCCAGGAACTTCTGCATCTCCACAGTGACATACATGGACACGGGAATGATGTAGTTGAAAAGAACCATGAAGGCCAAAAAGTCTGTGAATGCCCTGATTAGCTGAGGAGGAGGAGAATGAAGAACGTGTGAGACAATAAAGAGGGGATCGAAATATTTTTATTTTCCAGGATTCGAGACTCACAACGTGTCTCTGTCTCTCAACTTCCGTCTTCTGGTTGTAAAAGGGCTCGTCTTTGTTGGGGTCGGACTGCCACACGTATTTCAGTGCCGTGTTGATGAGAGCTTTGCTGATGAGAATGCACAGGTAGACCACCAAGTAGGCATTCATTGACCTGCAGAGGGAGAAGTTAAAGATCTGTGACATATTTCTTCATGATAGTGAAAGATAGATGAGTTTTTCATTAATCTGCTTTGAACAATGTGGACAAAAATTTGGATTGAAAACCCCATTTGAAAAAAAAGGATTATGGAAACTATCTGCCAAGGATGGAGGAGTCTGTGCCTCCCTTAAAACATTCCATTGACTTCATTACATTTTTCCTGCATTGATCTGTCTTTATGACTTGTGTGCTTTATTCTTTCCCTGAAAGATTACGCACAACCTCCAGAGTAGAATTTAATATGACTAAGTGGAGAGATGGAGCATGGCAGTTTGTGGCAGATCACATGTTTATATAATTCACATATACAGGTTCTAAGCTTTAGACTTTGTGTAGCATGTGCTTAAGTGTCTTGTATCACATGTTGAACTGTTATGATTGTGTTTCTTGTGTTTCATCCCTCTTTTCTCTTGGTGATAACACATGTTCTCATGAGTGCAAACACAAAAAAATAAGGGGCGGAGTTTGAGGCCCTGGTACTATTTCTACTATTTTGGTACCATTTCCCACTGTGGTTGAGAGTGTAAAAAGCACAAGTGTGCGCAGGTGCAAATGAAAGTAGTTTGAAAGGGAGTTAGAAACAATCCATAAGAGATTTCTGACTGCCGGTCAGCTATTTGGCGATTTTAACAAACAGGAACTAAAAAAATAAAAGCACTAGAACCCCAAAAAACTTGCAACCCAGTCCACCATGTAAAAGGTAACTTGGAAAACAACTCAGTATACTCGTCAGAATATTCAAACTTGAAAAGGGGAACAGGTGAGACAAGACATTTACTCTGAGCTGAGTCAATGAGCCGACGAGTTAATGAGACACACGTAGTGAGCAAGTGTGAATGTAATCCACCTACAGTCACTCATTTATACATCTGGATACAAAGACACTGTCTACGCCAGATGGAAAGAAAATTGATCCAGTCAGCGTAGCGAGCCAAAGAGACACACACAGACGCTTAAGTCTCAATGAATAAACCAAGACATGAGAAGTGAACAGATGGCTCTAAGGACGGGTAAGAAAAATTTCAGTTATTATCTAAGCTGGTTAGCACAGAAACAGCCAAAGACTGTGAAACTTGCATGAGAGCACTGATCGTTGCTAATAGGCTCCTTTCAGAAACAATTCATAATATAATATAAAAATGAAAGAGGAGGAAACGAAAAGAGCTTACTTTTCCACTGCAGATCGTTTCTGAGACTTGGACTGGTAATTGAGAGCCATCTTGGTTTCCATGCCAGTGTAGATGACCACAGCTACAGGGGGGAAAAGGAAAAGTCTCATTCAAAATGCTGCACTGTACATTAAAAAAAAAGAATATTAAAAAGTATAAAGTTGAGGTAATTTCTAACATTTATCATTAATTGTGTAGAATTACCATAGATATATTCAGTGTTCTTGAGTGTGGCTCCTCGGAGCAACAGGTTCTCTGATCCTAACGGCCTGCAGACAGTCCAGATGATAAACAATCATGTATTTCTTTCACAAACAAAAAGATCTAATATTATTATTATAATATTATTATTATTATATTATATTATATTATATTATATTATATTTCACTGCGTGTTATACTTGTATAACTATGCATGTGACAAATAAAGAATCTTGAATCTTGAATCTAGTAAGAGGCAAATAAGGTATGCCATTTCCATCTGAAGAACTTTATATCTGGCAGCATGGCTCTGTTCTGGGAATTCCCCACCATTCCATGCACATATACAGAAAGCTAGAGACAGGAAAAGCATAATTCAAGAACAACAGATATGGCACTTAAAAAGTCAGCTGCAGAGTAAAAGTGGGTTTCAAAGCATCCTGCAGCAGTGCAGCAACTGAGGGAAAGAAAAAATATTAGTGTACTCCATAAGAGATTTGCCAAATAGATGCAGAGGTGTATCAGGTGAGCCATCAGCTGATGGGGGCTTGGATTGTTATCAGCTGATCTGCTGGCATTGCAGCTGAGGTGAGCTAATGCTGTGCTCAATTAAATCTAATTAAGATAAACAGGTAAGCTTCGCACTAAGTCGTCATTCTGCAGAAATGCGAAATCTTCTTTGAAAGATTGAGCAGCATCACACTTTGTCATCAAAGAAATTTAATACATGTCTGGATGGTTTTGAATTTTATTTTTGAATGATGAGTGAATACAATAGAAACATGTTGATTTCTTTAATGATCTTTAATATAAAATGTAATATTTTTGTGTTATTTTACCTTGCCACTGGCTCATTGGTCATGTAGATGTTGATACGCCCCACGAATCTGTGTGGGTAGGAAAAGAATTAAGATAAGGCACATTTATTTTGCAAGAACACTTTGTTCAAGTGTGTGTGTGTGTGTGTGTGTGTGTGTGTGTGTGTGTGTGTGTGTGTGTGTGTGTGTGTTACTGACTTGTACAGGTCTGGCTGTGGTTGTTCACATTCTATTGTGGCATGGATCGTGTCCACCTCTTTCTCTGTGTTGTAAGCTTTGGTTTCCTGAACTGCATAATATGTCTAGGTTGGAAGAGGGAAGGAAAACAGAAGAAATGGATGGGTAAATGAAAAAAGAGAGAAAGATAATGGGAGTGTAAGTAATAAGGCAACACAGGAGGAGAAGTATTAAAGACACACGTTGTGGCATGGTGACAGAGGGCGGAAGGGAGATGAAGGGAAATAAGAAAAGCAATAAGGGAATGGATTAAGAGTTAGATGAATGAATGGATAAATGGACAGAGAAAAACATAAATCACAGCAAATCATAATGCATCTAGTACATATTTAAGTGGATTAAGTTTATCCAGCACACCTTGTGACTGCTCTCTCCATCCAGGCTGGCTGTAGTAACAAAGCAGGTCCCGTCATCTCGAGACGAGGAGAGGAGAATGAGATCACAGGGAAAAGTCTCATCTTCTTTCACCAAGACCACATCTCCAACCTGCCACACAGACCGAGACAACAAATGTTTACTTCTAATACATGCAGGGCCTTGATACCTTGAAGCCAACAGCTGGAGCTTTTTGCATATTTAAATTAATTCACCGGGGTCTAATTTGCCACTACCGTCCTGGCTCTGACCACCTAAGTGAGCATATCAGTGAGGAGTCCTAGCAGCACTTTAGTAGAGAAATACAGTCACTGAACGGAAAATGCAGTCAAATGCAACACACCTAATGACTTACCAGCAGTAAGCTCATATCATTTCAGTCTTATGTCGTTACATAACATACATCAATCTAAGTTCTTTTAATGCTAAATTGCTTTTAAATGCAGGCAAACACACACACACACACACACACACACGTACAGAGAGCTTAGTAGCAGGAAAATTCCTCAGTGTGAGCCACTAAAACAAATGCACCAAAGCTTTGTTAGATGGGGTGAGTGAGTTATCTGGTTTCACACACGCACCCTGAGTTTGCGGCTTTGTTTGCGGACCACTTTGCCATGATGCACCACGTGGACAGAACACTGGTTGACAGCGTTGTCTGCTTTGTGTCTCAACCAGTCCTCATAACCCTAAGAGAGACAGGAGGAGACAGAGAGGAGGATGTAAAAGTGAACATGTGTGCCTGCAGGTGTGGCTGCTGGTGTAGTGTTTACTGTTAACAGTCACATTAGGTGAACTCACCTGTTTAATGGCTGTGACTGTGATGACAAAGAACAGTGGCAGTCCGCTGGTGACCGGACTGGTGGGAGTGTCAATAATCAACTGAAGTGACCGCACACATGAACATACAGCGAGAGAGAGAAATGAATGGCAGAAAAGGTTTCGGGGGAAGAAGAATATATAGAAATGACAGACAGCAGTAAATAGGCAATAAAACATGTCTGAGCTTTATGGCACTAAACATAAATATAAACATAACATAAATATGATGAGTGGAGCTACTTTAAGCTGTTCCCTTATTCACAGTGGTGAATAAGTATAGTAAAAGTGACATCTCACTCTGAAATCCCATATACACGTTTTTCCTCTGGTCTATCACGACAGTTTTAGTGTGAGTTTCCAAGTTTTGAGCAATTTAAGGTAGAAACCATTCTCTGTATATTGAACTGCACATGTCAATAATGAAGCATAAAGAAAAATGTGTTTCTACGTGAAACATTTCTTTGATTGACTATAATGATTCATAGAAAGAGATGTTTTTCTAATGAAGTTTTTCTAATGTATGCTTCTGATGCAAGTGCCATTAAATTCAAGAGAAAGCAGACGTCTCTAGATAAACAGCACACAAGGAAAACTCTCCCTTAAGGAAAAATATGAATTATCTTTACAACATGCTTTGCAGAAGCCTTGTAGTGAAGTTCAGTCAGTGTGAGCAAGAAAATGTTTTACCTGAACCAGAAATATGATGAGAAAGTAGAAGTTGGCGACTCTCCTGAACTGCTCAAACATATTCTTTGGGATGAAGTTCCAAAACGTGTACTGGAAACAAGAAATTTTCTTATGTTTAATTAAAAAGATATAGAGTTTAAATAGATCCCACAGTGGCTTAAGACCAGATTCCCTAACATAATGTGCCATTACTAACTGGGTTTTGGCATTAAAAAAAAGTACTGCTGCTAATAACAAAGACACCACAGTGACAAGATTCAATTCAATTTTATTTATACAGCGCCAAATCACAACAACAGTCACCTTAAAGCACTTTATATTGAAAGGTAAAGACCGTACAATAATACGACAGAAAAAAAACCCAAGCAATCATATAACCCCCTATGAGCAAGTGCTTTGGTCAATGGTCAATGGTAACTTTATTGTCCCTAACGGGAAATTGATTTGCAGTATGTCCGTACAAACAAACAAACAGACAACCAACACATCACATGAGAAGATTCCCCCAGCAGCCTATTGCAGCATAAGGGAGGATTCAGGGTCACGTGCACTGTTCCCTCTAAGCTGAGCACC